AGAGAGAGAGAGATGTCTACACTGGGATTCAATCCCATCACATTACCTTATCATACAGAAATCCTACCATATTGAAGACACCTTTTTATATGCCAAAAATAGCATAGAAACTGAAATATGAGCAAATTATCAGATACATCCTGAGTTTTTCATTTTTAAACTTATTACTGAAGAAGTCAAATTTACTTGGGCAAGTTTTCTGACTGAACAAGTTTTTGTTCCTGATGTATGCGCACACCTTATGCACTACCCAGAACATCTTTGTAAGTGTTACAGCTTATGATTTATGGTATTGTAATATACACACTACAATACATCACAATAATGTGTAATCAGGAAACTCAGAGGTTCCCGATGCAGATCAACCAGAACAAGCTAACAAGCTTGGTTTGGGACATAAAACACCAAGAGAAATGTTAATATTTTACAAACGCATCTAAAGTTTAGTGAGTTTAGTGTATTTTTAGTTGCTGAATCAATGGGTGATATTCTTTTCTTTTTTTTAAATAAATGATTAAAACAGAAAACTATGCCCAATTTTTGTAAGTAACAAGAAACCAAAAAGTATAAAGGATGAGGTACGAATTTTTAGCTACTGACTTGCATTAGGGTGGGGCTGTACAATAAACGTGCAGTCTAGCGAAAGAGAATGTAGGGAGCTGGGTCACCACAAGGGATGGATGGCTCATGCCTTCCCTCACCAAGGCGCCGACTGTAGAGTTAGCTTCACGTCATGTGTGTCGGAAGGAAACCGAGATTTTTCCACACAAATGAAACAATTGTTCATAAATGATTTTTGAACCTTCACGAGCAGGAAGTGGACTTGGTAGTCCATGAGATGGCACTGAGGGAGTCGCCTTTGATTAGGATGGAAGAGCCCCAATTTCCGTTGAATAATTGCATTCTGATATACAGGTTCTTTGATTCAGAAAAGGATGCATCAGCAGTATCAACAGGATAAGAGAAGGTAAGAAGAATCTCACTTTATGGGTTCTAAACAGGCGTCCTGTTAAGGCAGGAAACCCAGAGGTTCTCGACAGAAAAAAAAACAAAAGTTATAGTTTGATGAAGCCTGGTCCAGGTGGCAGCACAAAGGAGGATCTTGGGATCGAAGGTAGGGAGGATTGGATTAATAGTGGGTATATTCTTTCAGTAAGGAGGCCCACAACGCTATGGTAGATCTAGTTTGATGTATGAGATTTGGTGATGCGGATCGACAACAACTCAAAACATGCGTCAATTACACTTGAGCCAGATGAACCACATGACAATCTGGATGATGAACCGGCAGATATAAGACCTGACTTGGAAGGGGTAGGGAATAGTGATATTTTAATAGGTTTTCCCACAGATTGTGAAGTGATCCAATCGTGGTGCTGTGTATGAAAAGAGGAGAGCTGGGCTCCTTGGGCAAGCTGCACATAGCATATTTATTGTCCAATTGGAACGCCTCTGTACTCAGTGAGTGGATATGGCCTTCTTCCCAAATGAAGGCATGGACCTCGAGGAGTGCAGGAGGAAACCATGGATGGTAGCATGAACAAGGGCAGCAGGGCTAATAGAAGGCCACCATGAAGATGCCTCTTGAGTTGGGGGCCCGAGTGAACTTTTCAGGACCAGACAAGGGCATAAAGTAAATGTTAAGTGACGTCACATAGGGAAACGAATTCTGATGTCTCACTTCCATTGAGGTCTACCCGAAGGATGACGGTCCAAACAACGTGACTGCACAACTGTTCGACATGGTTGTCAAATGTGGCTTCCCTCTTATATCCATGTTTCAGAGCCCTGAAAAAAGTTCAAGTGGCTGCTGTCCCAACCACAAGCGCCTCCAAAACCTGGTGTTCTTCCCTGATTTGCCAATGAAGTACAACAAACTATAAAAAAGGGTGTTAGTTTGGCAAATGGACTTCTCCTGGATGCTCTCGCAATTAACAGCCCAAGCCATGCTGAATCTTCCATTCCATGTCTATGATGGATCATTGAACGTTATATTGGCCCCTGGTTTGTAACACAAGCACCAACTCTGCTTCCCGAGGAGGATTATGTAGTCCCCTGGAGTGTCAGATACTGAGAACCATTGCTTTATTTGGCATAGAGACTTCATACCATTTCACTAGGTGATATCTGCGAGAGCCATTCATGCCATTCCAGAGAAAGTCTCTCACGAGAGGTTCCAACTTGTTAACGATGCTCAACTGCACACGAAATAGGGACATCTGGAAGACCGGTGGATATGTTAAGGTGGACTTGTTCAGGGTCACATGGCCGCCCAAGGAGAGAGTGGTATTTCCAGGATATGCCAATCTCCTCTTGCAGTTTTCGGTGATACCAATCCACTTGGCTTTCTTTGGTTTGCCAATGCAAAGTAGCAAGTCAAACATACTTGTTTGGAAGTGAGCGGGCGCCGCATCATCCTCTGTACCAGTGTTAGAATGCCATGGGGTGAATTTGGTCATCTTGCCTCAAGGGGAGGTTTGCAGATATTACTAAATGTCCACTTTCAATAAAGAAATAAAAGGAAGTGTTCTAAACATTTCCAAAATGTTTGTTCTAGTTGGTTATATAGCATCAAAAGTCCAAATAGTTGCACATAAGCAACAAAAGAACATCTAATCTATTGCTTTTATGTGCTACAGTGAATTAATCCATAAGTTTATTCCTTCGGCTCAATTAAATATGTTATTAATTAAGAAAAGATAATAACCCCCCAGTCAAACTATGCAATACATGCCCATTGGCATACAAATGCAGACAGGATTTTTTCTTTTTCTTTTTTGCGGGGTGGGAGAGGGATTGGTTAGGGAGAAGGCAATGTTACAGGTCAAAATATTTCCTGACAAGTAACACCTGCAATAAGTTAATAGAAATGATATTTTCAAATGTGTTCACAAAATAGCCCCTCCCACAGTAACGGCCATACATAAGATATTAGAATGTGATGAATGGCCCAGGTTGAATTTATTCATCAATTTTATAGCATCCGCCCCTTCAAATACATGCAACTGGAAGTTGCAGAGATACTAAGAATCAGATCCCAGTTTACTAAAGCCCATAACATACTTTAGCAGCCACCTCCAAGTTCTTCAGCCTAAAATCATCAATTGCAAACTCTATGTAGGCCTTGCTGGTTTCCAACAAGAACCTCCAGGATAGTTCACAGACAGCAACCAATACTAGTCTGCACAGCTATCAAAATGCAGCTATTAGCAGGCCATTGATTGCCAGCAATTAACGATAAGGTACTATAAAGCTGGACTCTATATCCAAGACTATCGGATGTAACTATGGAACTGAGATGGTGAACCCAATTGATCAGACACTAGAATATGTATGGCCCACAAGAAGTAGGGTCAAACATCTAAAAACACATTTTCAATACCTCTGAGTGGTCATTCTCAACCTTAACCACTAACTCTCAAATAGCTTATACATGTAAGTGACCCACATGACTGTGTGTTCACAAACAGACGCCGAGAGAAAACAAGTGTCACTACTGACACACCAACGCGTGCTCTATGATTAGTTGATTACTGCTTGAAGCATGGCTTGCAAGCCACAACAGGACTTGCAAAGCCCTTAGAAATCCTTTTGATAGGTAACCGACTTCAGACTAATGTCCATCTGTTTCAACGACCATTTCTCAAGACCCAAGAAGTGATTCTCCACAGATAACTAAAGATGAGTAATCAATACTGAGGACTCAGTAATTATTGATAACCTGTCATCAGTGACCCATAAGGGGGTTGAGAAATAATAGTTAATACAGAGAGATCATCTGTTTCATGGCCACATGAAAGCCATATGACAACGCTTCCCTAAGATATCCCAAGACCAGTAATAACGGCCTAATGGCTTCTTCATCAGGTGGAAATTGGATGTACATCTTGTCCGCTGTGGGTCCGAATTGTTTTTTATGGGTCAGCTAGCGGGGATTCGAACCATGGACACTGTCACATGAGGCTTAGGCTCATTGCTTTCGCGACGCCTTCACAGGCGTTCGCCTTAGCCTTTTCTACAGTTGTGCAAGGCTTGGTCACATCAGTTGGGCTCTACCACTAGGTACATACATAAATAACTTGGTGCATGATAAAAATCAGGCTGCTTTCATACATCCTGGAACCACCAGCGTCATTTTGCAAAACCTGTTTAAGGAAAAGAAAACTCAAGTATAATCAAACATACTTCAAAATATGGAATATAAAATATGTCTGTCCTCCTAAAAGAAGAAAAGGTCAAATCAAACTGGATATGATATAGGTGAAACCATCTATCATCCAACAAAAATATCAAAACTGATTGGTTTAATATGGTCAAACGAAACAAACTTAAGCAGGAGTGGATTGAGAAATATATTCATGCCATTCCTAGACAAAGATGCATAGAAAAGAGAAAAGACCAGCATATGCATCTTCATAATAAGAAATCAAATGTAATCAGCTTACCAGAAAGAAGAAACAAATATCAGAAGAACCAAAGCAGAGCACAGGTAAAACAAAGAACATACTCGATTACAATACGTTAAGTAAAAAATCGCTAAAATGATATAGACATCTTGCAGACAATCCTAGAACATTAGAGAATACCAAGTCATGATGAAAGGTGATACTGTTCAATCCACTCATCAAATTAAAACTGCTTTGTTGCACTAAATTACATTAAAAAGTCATCGGATGAATGCCATAATGGAGCTTACCCTTCATTGACCAAGTTCCATGCCAGATTTACAAGAACACTTTGAGATAATCCTAACTTGCTAAGGACTGTGGTGAGTGGAATGTAAGGATGTTGAACAGTGAGTTCAAAATCCAGAGTTGTCAGAATCATTTGCTCCGCCTCTATGACCCGCTCCCTATATTTCTCGAACCAGTCCTGCTCACAACAAAAATAACACAGATGGATAAACAATGCACGATCCAACACAAATCTAGTTTGTTCAATAGACTAACAAAAGAATTTTTTTTTTTTGGGGGGGTGGGTTGGGGGGCGGTGCAAACTAAAATACAAGTATACCATACTCCAATAGACCACAAAAAACATAGCCGATTGGGTTCATCATCATCCAATTAACGGGATGGATGTGGTGTGTGTTTGTGAGAGACAGGGAGAGACAGAGGGAGAGAGACAGAGGGAGTGGGATGCAACATAATAGGATGCGGTCTCAATGGTGGACTACACACCCCTCATCACTTACAATCATTTCATCAGATGGTGATGAAACTCCATTTTTCCACAGACTGATGGCTAAGAATATTTCCTCAAAAATACAAAGAAGTTATACTTAAAATTAACAGAATCATAATATAATCCTTTTGTAATCTTAATTCTCATCATCATATGTAATGTTTGTACTCCTACTTGCAGTCACATAATAGGTGAAGAAAATCACCTGGGTCAGGAAAAGAAACAGTCTATGAATACTCACAACAGGCAGCAAATGAGGAAAGAACGCTAGGTCATGCTTGTGGCAAATTTCACAAGATGCTCTGATCACAGAATTCAACGGGCGAGGTGTCTCCTCCGACTTAGCCGCAAGAAAGAGAGATGCTGTAGCGACCAACTGCAAAAGCAAAATTGGGATGCAATGAAAAACTTAGAACGTAGCATGAAAAAACTTATTCATGCATCTTCTTTTCTTCCCCGTTTTGGTGTAAGAGGAATTTGAGTAGGCCCTAGGGGAACGGAAGAAGAATTTGATAACATTAAGCTAATTCAGAACAACCCAGGAGCACATAAATAGCAGAAATGATCACAAAGCACAGTAGTCTTAAACGGATTCCAGCATGTAGAACTACTAGATGAATCAAAATAAGGAGAGAGACTACTACTCACAAATCTATCATGGTATGCATGAGATCGGCGAACAAAAAAGCGGTGGCAAAGGACAATAGCAGTTGCAATTGTAGTTTGTGGCCTGAAAAACCAACAAGTACTTCTTATAAGGAAGAAATAAATTCAATCACCAAGCCCAAAATATAGTACAACTCGAAATCCATAATGCATTTTATACCTTTCATACATGACATGAAACCCCAAGCTTGTATTTACCAATGAAATGGACTAATACAGAGAGAAGCAACATGAACAGATAATATAAAGCTGAGAACATAGATTAGGCTTGAAAACATCAGAATCAAATAGTCCAATGAGAATAAGTCAAGGATAAATAATGAAATAATGACCAACAAAAAAAAAAAAGGGGGAAAGAATGTGTAAATCAGGTAATTCTCAGATGTAATTAGTTATACAGTCATATTCTTCTTCCTCCTAAACGAGAAAAATGATTGTATGAAAAGATGACATCTACAAATACACTTTTGAAATACTTACAGTTCCAGCGTCATTCCAAGGTTTTGGAGGAAGGCACAGTATGAATATCGCAGATGCGTTTCTTTACGCAAATCTATTCCATCCTTCCTTGAAGGTGAACACCTCTCTATCTCATCCCTTGACATAAAAAACTCCGATGCTTCATAAACACTATTGGGAGAGACCCCATCTTCATTTACTCCTGTACAATCCCTCAAATAACTTTGTTGGGAATAATTATAATACTGATGGTTGCTGGTAGACAGGTTATTGAACAAGTTCAAATCGGATCGACAAGCTGCGACAGAATTGTCATTGAAATAAAATGGTTGGTAACATCTCCCCTGATTTTCCCACAAACTGGAAGAAAAACTATTCTTGGTGGCCATGGAAGTTTCAGTGGCCATGGATTTTCTTCTTTTCATGGCGGGCAAAGTATCGATATCAGGACCATGAGAAGTTAGGTCAACAATATTGCTGTAATTCCTTGTTGGGGCACCAGATCTCTCATATGACGATGAAGTTGACCTGTGATTTTGGTACCCACCTTGAGTTGGTAAATGTCGATTTTGTGTAAAAGCCATGACTTTCCTGTAACCTGTTATCAAGATTCAAAATTTCTAATTAGGGTACATGTTCAAGGCCCACAATTGAAGAACTAAACAACAAAGATTGCGTAAAAAAAAGTCATGAGTTTCTGATGCCTAAAATCCAGAGTCTATGTTGGGCCAATGTTCAGGTATATAAATAGAGAGAACAAAATGACCGCGGCACAATTAAATAAATAATCAACAAGAATCAAGAGAAAAGCATCAACACAGATAAATTGCATTCAAGATCTCTATAAAGCAAAGAAAAAGCTTCAAAAGGACATAAGAAATAACTGAATCTCTGGAAAAACAGAAAAGGGAACATAATCAGAGAACTCAATCACTTTAGGCAGTGTGGATTACCTAAATGAATATGAATGGTTGATCCCTTCAAACTGCAATTCAAATTCCAATATCTACACAACTCAACACATCGCTGAACCCAATTACTACCTCTTTTGTACAGGAATAAGATCTCAAACCCTAAAAGGAAGCAGTTTGCCCAGTTCAAGCAAAACCCTAATTTCCAAATCCAGCAAATAATCAAATTGTCAAAGAAAAGATCAAGAAATGGATACCAAACAGATCGGTTCCTCCAAAACAACGCAATTTCATGACAAATCCATTCGCAATTTTTTCATGCAGTCGTAATTGCAAGCAATATCCGAAAAACCTAAAATAACTCCTCTCTCGCTCTAAACCTCCGGAAATTTCCGAGAAACTAGAGATAGAAACAGCGGTGCAAAAGACATGAGGAAACAACAACCGTCGATAAACGACGATGAGAGAGAAAAATAACAAAACCCAGAGAGTCCAGAACGTCGACCCAAAAGAAGACTAGGTAGACAGACAAAATAGAGGAGAATTGATATGCGTTTAGATTAAAGAATTAGAAAAAACACAGAAAATGAGAGTCACAGGAGATTTGATATAAAGAAAACCCAAACGGAACTTTCTCTCTCTTCAAGTCCTGGTTTTGATTTGGGGATTTTTTTGCCATCCGTGGTTTTCGGCTCTGGGCAAAAGCGATGCGAATTATGGGGACTCTTTTTCACGTTTTGTTCAGGAGTTAGAGAGAGAGAGAGGGAACGAGATTTTCGTGTCAGTTGGGCTGCGTCGGCTTAGAGAGAGAAAGGAAGTGTTGAGGTCATTCCATACGGGATACGGCCAAAGTGTCCCTGGAAAGACTTTTGCTCACGGTATGTTCCTCCGCGGGTCTAGCGCATGTAGCATGCTTCCGCCGGATCATATTGTACACTAACTTCTTTTTAAGTAAACCTTTAAAAGTATTTAACTTTCCTTTTGATTCAAGGTGGTCACAATTAATCTTGTATTTATTTTATGGGTGCGGTTTTTATATGGTTGCAATCTTAAACAATCCAATTAAGGTGTACCTTAAAAATTTATCATAATAGGTAATTTTGTTGTAAAAAATTCTTAGTATTATCTTAAAATCTATTTTCATACCTACTTAAAAAAATTTCAATTCTAAAAATGATTAAAATCAAGTATATCTATAAATATATGAAAATCTTGAAAATAGACGGTCTAAATAATGTGTTGCAAGATGCATTATTTTTTAGATTCAAAAACTTTTTTTTTTTCATATTCATAGATCTCAATATCGATATGTTTGATTCAAGTGCTTTTTCAACATTAAAACAATAGATTTTCAAGGTGCATCTATGATTCTACATTTTAAGATTGCAATTTTATATAAACTTTTCCCTTATTTCATTGACTATACATAAATTTAAAAAAAAAAAAAATTGAACTTTTGTGACACACCCAAGTAATGAGATTTCACATTTGATAATTATAAATAATTGTGATATCAAAGGTAAAGGATCTCATTGTATATAATCATTCTAACTAATATTTTTTAATAACAAATTACAAGTACCTAGGAGACTTTGTTATCTTGAATTTTGGGATCTATCTTAAAAGAAAAAGGGATTTTAGGTTTTGAAACACTTAAATCTTGTTCTCCAAAAGTTCGATGATCCTCTTCAATTTAGATATTGCTCTTTTAAGCACAGAAATAAATAGTTTTAGGTTGGTTGTTAAGTTAAGAGGTTATATCAACTGTTTCTAAATCTTGTTAGGTGGGTGGATCTTCCTCCCTATATATCCATGTCGAATTGTTGGATTGTCAATCTAAAACAGTTTGGATAGGTATGAATCGGCGATCCTAAAATATAGTATGAAATATAATAAAATAAAATTAAAATAGAGATTCATAACGTGGGTATGAATTCATAGGGACTTAAAACACACTAGATAAGCTAAAAAATATAAATAAATAAATAAAAAGAAAATTGGAAAGGGTGTTTAAGGAGGAAAATTTTGACGGGGACGTACCTTCTTAGAACTGGCTTCCCGGCCAATTCCTAGTCCTGATCCACAATTCCTTATCTGAATCTTAGGGTTTTGAAATGCTAGTCCTATACTTCAAATTTGGAGCTTCGAAATTACCTCAGCTTAAATTTTACGGCGAGAGCAATGAACATTAGTGCTCCTATAGGAGCAAAAAAACCATTTCACCTCTCCCCTCTTAGGCAAATTTCTCTGGGTCTCCCTAATCAAACTCTCTCTTAAAAATATCTCTCTCTCTTCTATGCCTCTTGGTCAAATTCGTTTTCTAAAATCTCTCTCTTTATCTCCTTTCGATGCCTCTTGGTCAAATTCTCTCCCTAAAACTTCTCTCTCTTCTATGCCTCTTTGTAAAATTCTCTCACCAAAATCTCTCTCATTCATGAAATTCATTCTCCAAAATCTCTCATTCATGAAATCTTTTGACCTACAAATCTGTCCCGAATTTCTTTCTTTGATAAATAAGGACTCTTTTCAATGCCTCTTAGTCAAATTCTCTCTCTTCTATGCTTCTTAGTGAAATGTCTCTCTCCAAAATGTCTCTCTCTTCTATGCCTCTTAGTGAAATTCTCTCTCAAAAATCTCTCTCATTCATGAAATTCTCACTCCAAAATCTCTCTCATGAAATCTTTGGACCTACAAATCTCTCCCGAAATTCTCTCCCATCGATGAAATCTTTTGACCTACAAAGCTGTCCCGATTTTTCTTTGATAAATAAGGAAAAATGAAGGGTCGTACAAGCTAGACTCCGCGTAAAGCGCAATTGGCCTAGCTAATATTCTTTTTTAAAAAATAGTTTATGTAAGATTTCAACTTTCTATCTCAAAAACAAGGTGCCCCGGGAAAAAAAATATCGTTATGAAGTTGGAACCTCAAGATATGTGGATACGGACAAAAGGATAATTTCAAATATTAAAAATAGTATATATTTGAAAATGTGCAATCGAAATTTTATGTGATGCCATTCCAATGAAGTTGAAGGGCAATAGTTATGCTATCATCTTTGCTTTATGAGGCGGAATGATCTGGGAGAAAAAATAGCATACCTATAAAACAAGTGTAGAGGAGATACGGATGTTGAGATGGAAGAGTAGTAATACAATAAGGGATAAATTTTAAAATAAATAATTTGAAAATATTTAGGGGTGGTACCAATAGGCGATAAGATAGACTTATGTGTGCTGGTCATGTGTGGCGTAGACCCAATACAACACATGTTCGGAGGTATGAGTTAGTTCAATTGAAACGCTAAAAAAAGCGCAAGGCAAATCTAAAAGGACATAATTAGAAGTAGTGAGAAAATATAAAGCATAATAGCATACCAGAACTCGTATAGCCGACTCCAATTAGTTGGAAAAAATCTTCGATGATGATGATAATAATAAAAATTAATTATTTTTGTAACAAACTATCTTATCTACTTTCAAAATTTTTTCAAGTGTTTATAAATATGCTCGATCTGCGTTGTTTTTAAAATTGTAAGTTTCATAATCGGGGTTGAATATGAATTCTCATGCCAATATAAATTTTCCAACACTAAAACATCTTTTTGTAAAATTTAAAGGTGCACGTTACTTGTATATTATACAATGGACACCTTCTACAAAACTCGTCCTATTTTCACACTGCCATAAAAGGTAATTGCTTGTTACTTAGGTTGCTTATTTCTACATTATACTTCCCTTTTTATTCCTTTATGTAAGTTTTCCCATTATACCTTTCTCAAACTTTGGATAATCAAATGAGAAAAACTGCAATCTTTATTTCAAATAACTTTCATGCAAAAACCACGTGCTAAACACGCAATCTCGTTTTCTAACATTTAGAGATTGCATGAAATTCTAGTTTATGATATTTATTTTATTTTATATTACATAACAATAAAAAGTCTATTATGTTTAATTAATTTATGACATGATAAAATAATTGGATTTTGAACAAGTCTTAAAATACTTTTCCATTTACAGCATCTAACTATGACAATTTTAAGATTTTAATTTCTGAATATTTTTAATGTAAAAATAATAATACCAGTTCAAAATAAGAGGATTGAACATTTCAATAAACTTTTAAAAGAAATGGGAGTTTTACTTTACCTACCATTTTGAGGAGGGGAACCTAGAAGCTCATTGGAGTTAGCTATTGAGATAGATTAATTGAATGTGACCATAAACAAAGTTTGATAGCGAGATAAAAGGACAAGCTGAATCTAGGAATTAAATATGGGTCGGAGTCTATACTTTTCCTAATGTATTGTAGTTCTATACTTCTCTTTATATAGCCATCAGATCTAAATGAACGACTGAGATGGATCCAATTACAATGTCAGGCCTCTACATTATTTTATTTTAATTTTTTTCTACAAAAAATTTTGACACCAAATTTGGCCGTCCACTCCTCTCTTAAGCTCGTACTTGCAAAAATATTGTATATATATATATATATGGGAGTCACTGCTGTATGCCCATACACGAATGGTCCAGATTGAATCTGGGTCATTTTATGGCCAATCTGATGCTCACAGATGTCTGATAGTGTTTGAACTTTTTTTCTTTTATACAAATCCAAATCACTTGAATTTTTAGGCGTGTGTTATTCTTATCAAGACGCATATAATAAAAATATAAAAAAATAATAATTGGTGAAAAAAATGACCAAAATACCCTGCAAAAATTTTGGGGGGTATTTTGATCAATTTATTTCATGTAATTTTTTTTTGTTATATTTTTTCGTTAGATTCGCCTATTTTTTAAGAACACATGCTTAAAATTTTAAGTGATTTGGATCTGTAAAAAGAAAAAAAAAAAAAGTAAAAAATTCAAACATTATCGGACATTTGTGATCCGCCCAGATTCAATTTGGGCCGTGGGCGTTTACTATAGCAGTACGCACCTGGA